AAGATGAAAAAGTTCACTCCTACCATGAGCACAGCAAAGTATGTGAGATGGTCACAGGAACAGGTGACATTATTCTGACCACGTGTCCATAGGGTAATGCAGCCGTTCTCACTAAAATCTGATAAGTCAAACAAAGAGATCAGTTATACATAAGATGCTTTTACATCCAAGTCAGATCAGCTCACCATTGTAATCTTGAAAAAACACACAAACAACAATGACTCCGGTTTATAAAATTAAGATTTATGTTAGACACTAATGTTGATGTGAAGCTTGGTTACTCACTGCGTGTTGTGAAGTTAAAAAAGTGGCACGAGGGTTTCTGGGTTTCCTGTGTCACAGAAATATTACACGTTTACATGCTTTTACTATACATACCTAATTTTTGAGAATTTGTTGAACAAAAAATAAAATATATTCAATAATATAATGTTAACAGGCAAAAATAGAGTAAATGATAAAATTCAGAAGCAGTTACATTTATTTCCTTGATAAGATTGATGGTGATGTTGACACGCTGCTGTAGTCCTGATATGCTCTTGCCCTCCACACTCAGGCCAACCAGTAATCGATCATACACTTCATGTGGGGATCCTAAAATACTCTACAATATGATACAAATTCATCGGTTGGTTTTCACAGGAAAGATTTATGTAAGCTTTGTTGTCTATTCTGAAATGCATTCATTATTATTTGCATCATATTTAATGGTGTTGTCAATTTTTCCCTAAAGAGCATCTATTTCTGCACAGTTGTTTGAATGTGCCACTTTATTGTTTGTAAAATATCACAGCCTGTGTGAAAGCTGAACTCTTAATATCTCCAAATTTAAAAAAAAAAAACTGTAAAAAATAATGGCAAATTGACTGGTTCTTATATAGCACTTTTCTACTCTGAGTACTCAAAGTGCTTTATATTCACACTTTCATTAATAATCAGTTTCATATTCCATTCACACACTTTGTACAAGCACTTTTTTCTATGTAAGTGCTTCTTATCTAACTATCACACTCATTCATATTCCGATGGATACATCAGAGAGCAACTTGTGGTTAGTATGTGCCCAAAGACATTTGGCACACAGACTGGAGCAGACAGGGACTGAACCACCAACACCAAATTGGAGAGGTTCCCAAAGGTGTCTTTACATTTATTAGCTCAGTATTAAACGTTTATAAACTAATGCATTGCTACTCATCATCAGCATTTTTAAAATACATAAATGACTGCACTCTTCTATCACTTGTGGTAAAAACATGGAGATATTCTTTAATACTTAAATATTAGCTCATTGAATCATAAGGTATGAAGCTAAGAACAAACATATCATTCCTCTAACAGTCTCCATGATTTGCTAAATCATGCAGACAATAACATACTGGACATAAAATTCCATCGGTGGAGTCTTTCTTTAATCTCTAAAAGAACTGTATGTGAGTTAGTGTTTGCTGGGAGAATTGCTATTAAATAGCTTTAAATAATCTCATTATAAAATAATATTGAGGATACTGTGCACTTAAAGTCAGCATTTCCAGTGTATATGTCTAGTTCATATGGTCTGCAAACAAAGAAGTTTAATTACTATTGTAAAATCTATACACATGTGAAAAATCTAAATTTCATAAAACATAATCTACTCCCTGACCTGGTTTGTTTCAGGCCACTTGAGCTTGAGGAACACGATTGTGTTATTCTGTCCAGGATTCAGTTCTCTTGGCAGCTGAACGCTCACTGTGCTGCTGGGAAGAGGCTCGTATGATATGCCCTATATTATCGACACAATGTCAAAAACAAGAAGAAGAAACATTGCATGTGAATACTTGTAATAACACAATGAAACTTTCAACCAAGGCTGATGGATATGAGGTTTTTCTTGCAGAAAAACTAAAATAATGATCTGACAGTGATTATTCAGAAAATGATTAAATATATTTTAGCATCTAATCTTGAACTAGATGACAAATCAGTAAGATTCATAGTCTTTGAAGCAGCAGCAAAGTGTAATCCGTAAAGCAAATGTTGAGATATTTCATAGTATAAGTAATAATATACAACCTGTATTGTTGCTTATGAAAAAAATAAACATGTACCCTGTTTGTAGCTTTTTGTTTTCCCAATGCAAAACACTCCATCTTGTTTTCTTTACAGTGTTAATAAATATTTGAATATAAAAAAAAAATCATCATTAGAGTTTTTTAAATACCTCATTATCACTCGCATAAATGTCAAGGCCGTCGAACATGTCATTGGGTTCATACTGGAGAGAAACAATATCGTCATAACTCGTTGCTAAATCGATCCCGTTTATTTTTTCTTCCTCCATAAAATCTTCTAGCTCCATGATTGCTCTTGTGAAAAAGGACAAGTAAATATTAGCATGCATCATTTTGATTCTTACAATAATTCTTATGGCATACTATAAACTATCTTAAATACCTTAAAAACTCAACTTTGTGTTGTACTCCTACATACATAAAAC